CTCAAATGTCGAGGTAACTTTTCCAACTGTTGTCTTAGTACGTGAGCAGTGTTTAAATCACCCATATGTGATCTGCCTTTCATCATGGACTTTACTTGATCAAGGGTGATAGAGAAATCTTGGAGAGCTGAGCCATTGTTCGGTGTGATTGATGTCCAGGAAGATAGCTTCTTGATATGGGCGTTAGTTATCTTAAATGGATCGCCGAATTTTCTCTTTAACAGCCCCTTAGCTTCTTCTTAGCATCCTTCTGATTTAGACAGCTGTGAATAACTTCTTTAACTTTATCCGAGATGTACTGGCCAAGAAAATACAAACTTTCACAGGAGTCTTCAACCTTTACTTCGATCAATGTTTCAAAGGCTGTCAAGACTTCGCTTGCTGCGTATCTATAGTTTGAGACGATTCCGTTTGCTTTTTTGGAATGTCAAAAATAACCTGAAATGTAGTCTCCTTGAGTTGGTTATGAGTTAGATGACAAGTACTTTGAGTAGCCTTAAAAGCCATATAAATACTGTGGTGTTTGTATAATCCCCATCGGTTGATCTCCAGCGGAATATATGACCGCATGCTGGGTTTGATATGATCTGTACCTAAAGGCTGTCCGTGGGGGTGTGTAGTATTTCCCATACCTGCAATACCTCTAGAGGTTTCAAGGAAGAACGCTTCATCTGCTTATGTACATGCCATAATCGGGGTCTTGTACAGGGGTCCTTTCTGTTTTACTGTATATGTTGCGAGGGGATTTGCTTGAGTGGGACCTTATGGCCTTGATACATACATGTGAGTAGAGCTTACATGGAGTGACATTGGAGCAGATACTGAACTTGAGAAGCTAACTGGTGATATAACACCAAATAATTCCGTATCCTTTGAAGACGAACGTGAACGCGACACTTCGAAACTGATCTCTTCAAAACAAACCGAAGATTTCCTGTTGACTTTTTCCATATCCGTAGTCAACCTTGACAGCCATAAATCCGTCGGAAACCCGCCGAAAAATGGAGTGAACCACAGTTATCGTGCAGGTTAAACCATAATCCGTAGAAAAACTTCCGTGAGGCTGAGTTGAAACTGTTGCCGCGAACGGTGACAAACCGTGTAAAATGAAATCTTCACGAAGGCTTTGAGAAAACTCACCCTAAACGTTACAATCCATAACGTAACTTTAAGACCGCAAAAAACTGAACGATATATAGAGAGAAGTAAAGAGAGGTTTTGATTCGGTAGCCTCGTGGCACTGTTCGAAGAGGCCGCTATCGCACATGCACGAAAACTTAAAAGTCCCGTACAGCAACCCAGGCGATGGCCGTGCGTTGATCAGCCGCAACAGGCATTGCAGACCATCAAGTTCATGGCTTAAATCTTCATTTGAAAGTTCACGGTATTAGAGGCCTTTTTTTCATACTGCTTGATAAGCAGAGAAATAAACAAAGAGAAAATGTTTCCACTTATTTCTTGATGGAGTGATTGTTCACTCAGTTGTTACTTGATATCTATTTTCAGCAGTGCAATGGCTGGGTATTGAATATGTATAAATATAAAAACTGTATGAGGAGCAATTTATTGAATATGTATAAATATGTTGAAGCAGGTGAGTTTGTTCCATGATGACTGTATGAGGAGCAATTTATCCTTGATAAAAAGAAAGGTCTTCAAGATTCTTTGATTTTTATTGATGCTGAGCAGCTACAGTGTATTTAATTTTATAATTTTGGAGGGTCTATCTAGTTGAATGTCTTTAGAAATAAAAAATGGCGACCAACTTTTTGGGATTGGCTACCTTTTTAGAATATTTAGGAGCAAAGTGGCATTTAAAAAACGCTAATTTTACGCCCTACACCGATTTTCTAAATTTTTTTTGGAAAATAATACTTGTCTAATTCCAACTAATGTTATGAAGATATCTATCACATGTTACCAGTTCGAAAACACATCATATATATTGAAGAAATCTTGCTTTTTTTTTGACCAAATTCATCCCTCGCTGTCACCTCGCGAAATGAACTCCGCCATGTTCCTTTCCATTCTTCTTTTGACCAAACGGAACGGCCCAGTATTCATTGAAAAACGTAACGGTTAACCACATGGCGTCTACACGTGGAAAGCCTACCCGTAGACCCCAGTAGGAGCCTTTGCGGCCCGCACACCCCCAGCATGGGGGGGGAAGGTAACAAAGCTACCAGCTATTTCTTATTTTTTACCTCCTATCCAAAACATTTAGCAAGAACCCTCTACTGTATGATTATAGTTACGTCGAATAGTCCTCCTTGAAAGGGGATCAATTTTTTTTAAAAGATGACAGCCAGAAGCGATAATTTTCTTCCGGATATTGCTCGTATTCGTTACGTCGAATAGTCCTCTATGAAAGCTGATCAATTTTTTTTAAAAGATGACCGCCAGAAGCGATAATTTTCTTCCGGATATTGCTCATAACATAACACTCTTTCAAAGCCATGCACATTCCGTTTGTCGTAAAATTTTTCGTTAAGAACATTTGATGCAAACATCATCAAAATGTGCGATACATGATTTTTGAGCTTACGTATTAAAAACTACATTACTATAGCCAACGAGGTGCATAGTGTCAGTTCCAGAATCGGTGTACTTTTGGAGAAATTCAGATAAGCCCTCTTCCTATCTCACCCTAACATAGAAAATGACCGAAACTGTACCGAGATAAAATAATTGATTGGTGTGTTCACATT